AAGCAGGTCAAGTATGCTTGGTCCTCGGTGGGAAAATCGACAACCTGACTCCACATTCCAACATCCACAGCCTCAAGAAAGTCGAACTATCTGGGGCCTGAAGGCGGAGACCAGCGGACTTCGGGGAGATTAAAGTCACCCGCAACCAATTGATACTTAAAGCTTAAGTTGGTCGCAGCATGAAATGCCTGTGAGAGTAAACGATCAAAATTGTCGTTGGCGTTGGGAGGGCGATAGACGCAGACAACGAGTAAGGAGAACCTATTTTTAGTGCAATCTGGATTCTGCAGCTGCCTTCTACTGCTGAAAAGTGCGGGAGGTCCAACGGCAAAAATGTAAGTGTTTTCTTAACGTAGACGCAACTGCCCTTCCACGGCTGTCTTGGCAATAATTTCGAATATCTACGTCGGCAGGACCCCGAATTGTACTCCATAACTTCATGTCCTCGGCAAACATTTCTACTTCGAATTCTAAAGCTCTTGCGGCATCGCCCATGTATATAGGGAACAAAGTGGGTCTCAGTATTGAACCCTGGGAGACACCACTCTCGACCATAACTGGATTTGACTTTCCTCGACCGATGCACACAACCTGATTTCTACCCAAACGGAACCTTTCGATCCATTTAAAGAACTTGCCACTAATCCCTATTTTTTAAGTTTATGTAAGAGCCTCTGGTGTGGCACAGTGTGAAACGCCTTCTGGAAGTCGATGAAGGCTATGTGGACCGCGTGCCTGTCGTCAAGAGCTCGGGTCCAGCCGTCGAGAGATTGCAGCAAGTTTGTCATGCAGGAACTTCATTTTCGGAACACATGTTGACATTTCGATAGCAGGCCGTGAACTTCCAGGAATTGCATCAGTTCACTTTTTATGATCCTTTCCATCACTTTGCAGAGAATGCGTGTCAAGCTTATGGGCCTGTAATTTGTCGTCGCTGCCCTGTTACCTCCTTTGTGTAGCGGAGTAATATACATCAACTTCCAATCGATAGGAAGTGTTCCAGTGTCCAATGACGTTTGAAAGTGCATCGACAACGGCACAGAAAGATCACCGGCAAGTTCCCTGTGAAGCTTGGGTGCAATCTCGTCATGTACTGGCGACTTCGACTCGTTCAATGCCTCTGATACTCTTCGGACAATGCCTTCTGAGAAGAGTATATCACTGACGTCTGGGGTCGGCAGTTCTTCTGTTGAGGGAGAAGGGAGCCTTGACTCGTTTGCGTAGACTGATTGGAAGAACTGTGAAAAATACGCAGCTTTATCTCTTATATCAGCAATCTCAACGCCATCAGTAGTCCTTATTAAGGAAATTTGATACCTGTTCCTTGTACTTCTTCGGAGGTAGCTGTAGAGTAATTTTGGGTTCTGCGTTGCCTTTTGTAGCAAGTTCTTCTCAAATTCCCGCCGCGTCTTCATGATCAGGTTCCTCAGTTTGTCCCTCATTGTCTTGTAGGTGTTGAAATATTTAACTTCCCTAGTGACGAAGTATTTTCTCCACAATTTGCGCTTCATGTTGATTTCTTTCTTAAGGTTGCTATTTAGCAACCCAGGGCGTTTGTTCAGACTTACATTAGTCTGTAGGCAGTGGTTGTTGATGAGCTGCAGAAGGACATTCTTGAACAGCTCCCAGTAAACAATGAGCCCCAGTCGAGACCGGATAAGTCTGCCCTCATCTTATTGAAGTCGCCTCGCCAAACATTCCGTTTTTTGTCGTCCGGAGTACGTGAAATGGAGAACAACGAATAAGCCCACATAAGCACTACGTGATCACTTCGGCCAAGGGGCGGCATGGAGGTGATCTCGTCTATGCTGTCTGATGTTTTCGTAAAAACCAGATCCAGGCGGTTTGCCCTCTATCCTTCACGTGTTCTCCAACTGCTCCGGTAGTTGAATGTCGGCGATTTGGTCTGTCCTAGGTGGTCGGTAGACAGTGAGGACATCGAGACACGGGGAACCGATGGCCTTGATGGTCAACCAAATATCTTCCGTGCCGCACGTAAACTTGGTGGTGTTTTCAGACACTGCCAGGCCCTTACTCACATACGCAACTATTCCACCACCCTGACATGGTGAGCCCGTTTGTGCACAACAGTTCGAAATCGTCCGATCTGAGATGATTTGAAAATTGTTTATAATTGAAATATTGGGCATATTTCTGCGTCAATTTTCAGCCAATTGTTATTAGCTGTCGAAAATAACACATTAATTCTTATACTATCTCTCCAATTAACCAAGAAGAATGGTAAGCATGCTGTTGACAAAGTAGATCTTTCAGCAATCGTGCGTTTACAGAAGTTTGTCGAGAAACATGGACATATTTTAAAGATTGTCGACTTACTAACAGACTCAAATACCTTCAGGAACAGCCTAGCTAGCCTACCACAAATAGAATCGATTATACATTTGGTTTCATCAGAAGTTGCGAATAGATCAAAACGCAGAATCAATTTAATTATCCGCAATATACCCTACACGGTTTACCCAGGACAATCAATTCAAAAACTCATAAATTCGTGCCGCCTAAACATTCGAGTAGCTACCACTAAAAGACTTTACTCTAAAGACAAAAATAAACCCGTCTTAGTAACCTTCTACTCACAGACCGAAGCTGAGCTGGTCCTACAAAACCCCGAGTTAAACATAAATCTGCGGAACCGAAACTCAGTTATGGGTCCAGATTTGACACCGATGCAAAGTCGTTAACTTCGGGAAACAGACACCAGCTACAAACACGGTAATCAGCATTCCGGTCCCACAACTGAAAATCCAGCTACTACCTCTATTTCCGGCACTAATAAAAAGAAATACACAGACCAGCGTAAATAAAATGATAAAGCCACAGTCCCGTAGATGGACCTCCATCAAGTACTTCTGACTCTATTTCTCAGGACAAAGAACGCGTAACAGCAAAAGCAGTTGGCAATGCTGGACAGAAAGCACCAAGGGAGACACAGTAAAAACAACGTTCAACGAGAACGGAACGATGATGCCTAACCCGGTCCCAGTCATGTGACACCATTAGATAGCGATATAAGTTTTACTATGTCCCTCAAAATCGACCAGCCAGTAATATAAATCGACTGCCGAACAAGACACAAAAACCAAAAGGCCTTACTAAGCACACCAGCACAACAAAACGCCCTAGGTATTTAGATAGAACAAAAAGGAATATTCCAAACTCTAACCAGAAACAACTAAGCTTCTGTAACTGTACCTCGACTCACAAAAATCCACCTGCATGGCATAAGAATAAGTCAAACTATTATAGCATTCCAAACCTCTTACCACCTAGTGACAACCCCACAAATTACTTCGGCTTTTACACCTACCCAACTGAAACTCCATTTAGGTACAATTACCACCTAGTTTACCCACTTGCCCCATATGTACACTCAATCCATACACACTATTTCATGCACTCACACTTCGCCATACACATCACCATATCCTCCAAGAACCACACACATACCTCCATTTAGTCCATCACTCAATCAAAGTACCCTCAGAAATCCTTTTTTCACCACTGCCCACCTCTTCCATATCCGGCATCCTAAAGATAGCTGTTATAAATTTTAGATCGATTGTCAATAAAATATTCCAACTTAGAAATTTTGTTGAAATATGTAACCCCAATATAATTTGCATCACAGAAACATGGGCAAATGAACTTATAGTAAATGCTTCGCAATATATCCAAAATTATAATTTCTATCGATAGGACAGTGTAAGTCAACAAGGCGGAGGTTGTCTTATCTACATCAAATCTAGCATTGAACAAAGTGGCATTGATCTTCCAACCGAAACATTTGCTGAAGAAGCGTGTTTTGCCACAATAGAATATACTACCCTGGAAAAATACCATTCGGATGCCTCTACTCTCCGCCAGAATGTAGTAATGATGACACAAGCCTCAACCACTTGACAGTTCGACCGTCGATTTCGACGATGTCCACCGTGTGCCCCACAGCTACAGCAGCAGCGGTAGGAGCAAGGACGGTGACTTGCGCAGGGGTTTATAGTGCCAATAGACTTGCGCTTCATCTACATACACTCTCTTCTCCTCCCCCCGCCTGGACCCGGTGTCAAGACAGAGTCAAGAAGACCAGAGACTAGGGAGGCCGCAGGTGGATGGCTCGGACGGATCCTCACCTTGGCGTTCCACCACACCCCCTGGTTCACACAACAATAACCAGGATTTCAGCCAACACAAGAGAGATTTGGAGGCTGGCACGGCAGAAGCCGCACCTAGGCGTGCCGCCAACGCCTGGCAAGGGTCCCACACTGTGGTGGGAGTGCCATAAAAGCCACATTAAAAAGGAGCCATTGCAGCCTGACTCTCAGACCGCCTCCAGTGAAGGAAGAGGTCCAATGTACCCCGTCAGTTGGAAACCTTCCAAGCCACGGCTTTTAGCGCACCGTGATAGCTTCGAGCGCGTCAGATTGATTATAGTGAGGAAAATGCGCTGAGTCGTCGACCTCACTCTCCCTTCCCATTTCCACACCCCAGCCGCTGTCCGAGCCGGTCAGCAGACTGGAGTGGGAAATGGGCGCGGTGGCTGCCATGGTCGACTGACCATGCCTGCGCGCGCCACAGCACGACCTGATCCCCCATACGCACACAAACACCAGGATTTCACACAACGGGGGTTGAACAACGTGTCTCTCACTTGCGTGAGAGGGCCGTGGAAGGTGCTGCTTCAGTCCGTCCCCAGGCAACCAGTCCGCCACTCCACACAACACACACACAACGTGACGAACTGCGTGAACCGAGAGCGGGCGTCAATCAGCGACCATCCTATCCTCAACACCTGACGTGTCGGGATAGTCTCGGACTCAGTTCATCCGTGCAGCCGAAGCCGCATGGGGACCTAGTCGGGATGCACACTTCCCACTTGCGTGGAAGGTGGCAGTTGGGGCATGGGGTGGGTGAGAGTTGTTGCGTGTTGGTGATGGTTAAGGAGGGTAGAGAGTTTGTGAGTGTGTGGTGTAACCGGCGGTTGTCTACCGCAGGTCGTCGTGGATGCGCATGTGACCGAATAGGCCCATACGATGCCTGAAAGTGCGGGGACAATGTGGGCAGTTGAGACGAGCTTGGTGGGTGTAGGTTGGTGCTCCAGGCACTGGTTCTCCAGACTCTGTGTGATGGATTCGCAAGTGACCGACAAGGCCAATGCGTGAGGTGAATGTGCGTGGACAGTGAGGGCACGAGAAGTCGGCGGTGTCGGCTGCAGAGGAAGCAGTGGTGGTGGTGGTGGTGATGAGCGAGCAGGGCGATGGAGCGGGCGTGGTGCTGGGCATGGTGGATGTGTTGGATGTGGTTGGTGTCTCGGAATTGTGGTCAATTCCGCTCTCGTGGATGCGCATGTGGCCGAATAGACCCATGCAATGTGTGAAGGTGCGAGGGCAGTGTGGGCAGTGGAGGCGAGTGCGGTGGGTGTAGGTTGGTGCTCCAGGCACTGGCTCGTCGGTCTCTATGCAATGGATTCGCAAGTGACCGACCAGGCCGATGCGTGAAGTGAAGGTGCGATCGCAGTGAGGGCAGGTGTAGTCCTGGTCCTCACCTCTGATGACGGAGGTTGCAGGGGTTATGCCTGTTGTTGTGTCAGGTGTGGCTGTGGTGATGTCGTGCGCGACAGACGCCGGAGTGGCCGCCGTTGTGGCAGTGAAGGAGGAAGAGGAGGAGGAAGGGGAGGAGTGAGGGGTGGTAAAGTCGGTGGCGTCGATGTCGGTTGGGGGGTGGTTGGTGGTGATGAATTGAATGTGGGGCTCGGCGGGGTGGGTGTGTCGAGGCTGCGGTCAATTCCGCTCTCGTGGATGCGCATGTTACCGAATAGGCCCATGCGATGCGTGGAGGTGCGAGGGCAGTGTAGGCAGTGGAGGCGAGTGCGGTGGGTGTAGGTTAGTGCTCCAGGCACTGGTTCACCAGCCTCTGTGCGATGTATTCGCAAGTGACCGACCAGGCCGATGCGAGAGGTGAAGGTGCGGTCGCAGTGAGGGCAGGTGTAGTCCTGATCCTCATCACTGGGATCGGGAGAGGTGGGGGTGTTGTCGGTTGTTGTGTGGGGGTTGGTGATGTGCGAGACGACCGTCCGAGCGGCCGCCGTTGGGGCAGTGGAGGAGGATGGAAGTGGTAGTACAGAAGAATTGTCAGAGTTAGTAGGCGACAGAGAGGACGAGTAAGAGGCGGGCGTGGGAACGATGGTTGGTGCAGTTCGAGAGGCGCAGTTGGTCCAAAGATATCCAACAAGTCTGATTCGAGCCTGGAATGTCCGTTGACACCGAGGACACGTTGGAAGCGGTTGTGCGGCGGCGTTGCGTACTGGGCGAAGTTATGATTTGCGGGCTTCGCGTTTCACTTTGGCGGCAGCGATGCGGCTGGTTTCATAGATAGCAGTGCCCGTCTACACTGTTCTCCTCCATGTCGGACGATCGCGGGCGAGCTCTTCCCAGTTGGTCGGGTTGATTTGCAGTCGCTTCAGAGAGGACTTCAGGGTATCCTTGTAACGGCGAATTTGGCCTCCTTGACGGCGAGAACCCGTCGCGACGTCTCCGTAGAAGAGTCGTTTTGGTAGTCGCTCGTCGTCCATGCGCACCAGGTGGCCGCTCCAGCGCAGCTACATTTGTCTCAACATGGAGTAGATACTCAGGATTCCCGTTCGTTCTAGCACATCAGTGTCCGGGATGCGATCCTGCCAGTTCAGCCTCAGGATGTGACGGAGACATCGATTTTGGTATTGCGGGAGAGGGTACTGCCCAGGTACGGGAAGTTCTCCACCACTTGCAGTTGGGTTCCGTTCACCCTGATTTGCTGCGCGTTGGGGATATGGCTGAGTTGGGTGGCGGTTAATGACCAGGCCAAAGTTCTCGCAGGCGGCGGAGAACAGGTCCATACTGCGCCGCATCTCCTCTTCTAAGGTGGTGTTCAGGGCGCAGTCGTGGGCGAAGAGGAGTTCGTGCATGGTGGCTGTTGATACACGCGATTGGAAGTTCATGCGCCGTTGATTCAGGAGATGACCGTCCATTCTGTAGGCGATGCGGATCCCGGGACTTTCGTCGCAGTAGGCGTCCATCAGCCTGACAGTGAACATAAGACTGAAGAGGGTAGGCGCCAGTACGCATCCCTGCTTCACTCCGTTGGTCACTGCGAATGCCTCTGAGACAGCACCGTTGTCCGTGACTCGCGCCATTATTCCGTCGTGTAGCTGACGCACCATCTGATTGAATCGCTCCGGACAGCCGAATTTCTGCATGATCTTCCACAGTCCTTCACGATTCATCGTGCCAAAGGCTTTCGTCAGGTCCACGAAGGTAGAGTACAGGTGAGTCCGCATCTCCTGGCACTTCTCCTGAAGATGACGAGCGGCGAAGATCATTTCCGTGGTCCCACGATGACAACGGAAGCCGCATTGGCTTTCCGGCAGAAGGCCCTGTTCCAGATGGTTATTGAGGCGGTTGAGGAGGATTCGTGCGAAGATCTTCCCGGCGATGTTCAGCAAGGAGATGCCACGGTGATTGTCGCAGACTTGGCGGTTCCCTTTTCGCTTGTAGAGATGCACGATTGTTGCCTCTTTGAAGTCTTGTGGGACTACACCTTGACGCCACATCTCCTGGAAGAGCGCAGTCAGGTGATCCATCAGTTGGGGACCTCCGTGCTTGTAGACCTCAGCGGGGATTGCGTCCGATCCGGGTGCTTTCCCGCTTAGAGCTGCTGCACGGCCCTGATGGTTTCCTGGAGAGATGGCGGGAGGTCGAGGTCCACGTTGGTCTCAACTTGCGGCAAACGCTCGATGGCGGCGTCGGAGATGACGGAAGGGCGGTTGAGGACGCCTCGGAAATGCTCGGCCCATCGCTGCAGGATTTGCGTCTTCTCAGTCAGGAGAGTACTGCGTTGGCGCTGAGGAGAGGAGCAGTGCCCTTCGTCGGCGGACCGTAGACAGCTTTGATCGCGGAGAAGAAGTTCTTCCATTCGTTGCGGTCCGCGTACCCTTGAATCTCCTCAGCTTTGCGAGCAGTCCAGGCGTCCTGCATCTCGTGCAGTCCCTGCTGAAGGTGGCGGTGACTGCGGTAGAAAGCAGCTTTGTTGTCGTCAGTGGGGTAGTCTACGTAGGCTTTGTGTAGGTGGTTTTTCTCAGCAAGCAGATTTCTGATGGCGGCGTCGTTGTCGTCGAACCAGTCCTGGTGCTGGCGGGGAGCGCGACCAAGGACGGCGAGCGCCGTCGCCTGGACCGCGTCTCGCAGATAACACCAGCGGTTCTCCACGGATGCGTTCTCGACAGCGGCGGCATCGGCGATAGGGAGGTTGTCTAGCCGTTGAGCTATCTCATTGTTGAAATGAAGATGATGAGCGCGCAAAGACAACAAGGCAACATTCAGCTTACCTGAGGGTCGCTTACCTTGTGGTCTCCTGCGAGGCTGTAGGCGAATGCGCATCTTTGAGATTACGAGGCGATGGTCGGTCTACCCGTCAGCACTCGCGATCGCTTTCGTCACCAACACGTCCCGCTGGTCACGCCTTCGGACGAGGACATAGTCCAGCAGGTGCCACTGACGCGACCGAGAATGCCTCCAGGTGGCCTTCTTACGCTCCGGCAGACAGAAGAGCGTGTTCGTCAGGATGAGGCGGTGTTCTGCGCAGGTGCGGAAGAGCAGCAGGCCGTTGTCGTTGGAGCCGCAGAGACCGTGGGGATCCAGCACTCCTCTCCAGGCAGTATGGTCTGTGCCGACGCGGGCGTTGAAGTCACCAAGGACAATCAACTTGTCCGCCTTCGACACATTCGCCAAGACGGCGTGCAGGTCCTCGTAGAATTTGTCTCTTGCGTCGGCGTCAGGGCGGCTCATCAGCAAGCGTAGGCGCTGATGATGGTGCCGAATTTGCCCCCACCCCGGAGAGGCAGGCGGAGGCCCATCAGGCGATCGTTGATGCCCTGCGGCAAACATGGCAGTCGTCCCACGATGTCGTTCCGGATGGCGAAGGCGACACCCACGTCTTGTCGCTCTGCCCTGGGTCGACCACTCCAGAAGAAGGTGTAGCCGGCACCCACCTCCTCCAGTTGACCTTGTTCGGAGAATCGGGTCTCGCTGAGTGCAGCGATGTCCACCTTGTAGCGCGCCAGTTCTCATGCCACTAGCGCTGTCCACCGTTCCGGTCGGTTGCTCCTCGGATTGTCTAAAACAGAACGAACAGTCCAGGCTGCCAGAGTGAGCGGACTCACTCTGCCAGTCTGGCGACTGCGGCGGCGAAACTAGGAGGAGGAGAAGAAGAGGAATAGGCGGGAAGAGTAAGGGAGTGATTATTGTTGTTGTTGTTTCGGTTTTGGCTGTTTCGACCGTGTGTGTTTTGTCCGCGGCCACGGCCAGCCTACAGACAGCGGGGTTCCCAGCGATCTTTAGGGCACCTTTTCTAGCCCCTCGTCGCTCGAGATGGCAGGCAGCGCATCCCTGAGTAGGGCTGCCCGGTTATTCCAGACGGCTGCCGATCTCAACTATGGGCCACGAATTTTTGTTAGTGAGAGAACTACCCGAATTAGCCTAGGACCTTGGTGGTGATGGTGTTGGAGTTGTTGAGAGGATACACACAACAGAACGCTATGGGACTTACAGCTAGCTAAAGTGGACAAGCAGACACAGTCATCAGTCAGAGACAGAAGTAAGAGGGCATCATTCAATATCAGGCACAGTAACACCTAGCTATTAGCAGACAGAGGCATAGACTAACAGACAGTCGCAGCAAGCATCAAGTGTTTCATATAGATATTAACAGACAGACTAAAATATAGGGGGCAGGCAACAAGAGCAGCAGACAACACGGAACTTCAACAGACAAAAGGAAGAAACAAAGCAAATTCACTTACCTGAAGAAGAACTAATCGGGTGGGCTCCTGCGATGGTCCAGGCAGAGCCTCGACTCGACGATGTCGACGCGAAGATCCATCCGGCCAGCGGAGACCACAGCACCGCGTGTGCAGGTGCACGCACGGCAACCCTCACCTGGTTTAACCCGCCGGTCGAGACGGTTGCCCGGGGTGTGGCCGCTGAGCAGAGCCCAACTACGTGGAGCCACAGGTGGGAGTTGAGTGCCAACAAGTGGACGCTAGGCGTAGTCTCACCTGCAAGCAAGTGAGCGACCACCACGACCATCACGTGAACCCACGGCTGACAACCCCTACAACCAGAAGAGAGATGTCAGCAACACCCGGTATTCCCAGCCGGTCACCCATGCAAGTACTAACCGGGCCCAACGTAGCTTAAATTCGGTGATCGGACGAGAACCGGTGCTTTCTACGTGGTATGGTCGCTGACCCTCAACCACTTATTAAACAATATAGCGAAGATTACAACTGAAAATAAGATGATCGCAGGCGACCTAAACCACCCAGAAATAAATTAGGTGACATTATCGGCACCTATCAGGCATGAAGAAGTGTAATCTTCAATTATATTTAATAACTGGACACAAATAGTTGGCAAATCCGCCCGAGGAAATAATATACTAGACGTTATTTTCACAAACGACATCTGGCCCCCTCTACATGCACCACGACTGCGTAACCTTTGAGAGTGACCACAAAGCTATAATAACAACACTCCCTTTAAATTCAAAACCAGCACCCCGTTTTAGTAATTCAAGACACCCCCATAGACGAAAGACTCCCGTATAAGAAATCACTAATCCCACACTTCCTTTCAACTAGACTTAAAAACTAAAAAACAACTGCACAACCATACCGTAAGTTATTAATCTACACTTCGACGAATAAGGGAAATTCACGACCTAGTTACGAAAATAAAAACGCAAAAGACCGAAGCAGCAGAACATCGGGCATTAGAATTCCCTGAAATAACAGCTCAGTTGTTTAAGAAACAAATGAATAATCATCGAAAGTCAGGACCACGAGCTGGGATTGATGAATTAGGACAAGCCATAATAATAATATTTATAAAAGACTCGTCGGGGTCCCATTAAAGCAAATGACAACCAAAAAGCAAACGGATTCAACAAATACTTCTTAACTGAGTATACAGTCGAGGAGGGAGCGACCTCCAAACCGACCGAAATGACAGAACGCATCCTTAGTGAGATTCGTTTCAGTGAAGAAACAGTTAAAGTAGCCATCAAACAATTATCAGACGCCGACTCTTATGAAACGTACAAAATCCCGCCATGTATTCTGAAGCATATGACATATGCTTCAATACTCCTATCTAAGTTATTCACCTTACTCCAATCAAATGCATTTTTTCCGGACATGTGTAAATACTCCACCATTGCACCTATCTTTAAAAGTGGCAACGGATCTCATACCCATAACTATCGTGCTGTTCACCGAACACCGACAATGGCTAAAATCCTCGAGAAAATAGTCCACAACCAATTGCTAGACCATGTCATAAACGTCAACCTTAATTCCCACCTCAACATGCTTTTTTACCTAAAAGGCATGTTAGTCCTGTCATCTTTCTTTTCCCGAATTCGTTCCCACCAATAGAGATGATGAAAACACGATAGCTTCAATATACTTCGATTTAAAAAAGGCCTTTGACAAAGTCCCCCGTAAAAAAACTACTGATAAAGCTAAAAAGTCACGAAATTAGGCACCCCTTATAGATTCTCTTAAATCCTATCTTCAAAACCCATATATAAATAAATTTTAATTTAATGCCAGTTTACAGGCATTGTCAAGGGAAGCGATTAAACCCAAATCCGACCAGCAGTGAAAAAAAACTCCTGAGCTTAAGGCATAAAAAAATAGTTGATGGTGGTTTTTGTGGTTTGGAGGGCTCAGGAGAAAAAAACTGTCGGCGGTGGTAGAATATCGACCGTCAAGAAGGGGGGAGGTTGCACGGTATCGGAGATCATCGGACGTCAAAGTCCTTTCATGAAGTTGGGGATAGTCAAAGTAGAGGCGTTGAGGAACAGCTGGTGAGACCGGCCATAGTGTTCAGAGACCACAAACGCCATTGCTACGGCACAGTCGATCAGTAGATTCAGCACCCAAAATTTGTGGGAGCTTTTCTGAATGCAAAAATCGAGTAATAGTTCTCTTAAATAAAGGAAAATTTTGCAGAGTTTTCACACTCATGGGTAGTTTATTCCAAATGGCAATTGCATTTACAGAAAAGAACCGACGATATTTAACAGTACGTGCCAGAGAAAGAAATAAAAAGACCTTACGGTGATGTTACGTCGGGGGTAGATATGATGTCTTAAAGAGGTGAGTAGGTTAAAGATGGGATTATAAAAGAGTTTAAATAGCAAAAATAGTCCCTTTTGTAATCTACGGAACCATAAAGGATCGAGGCCTGTAAGCAGGCAACGTTCTTGGTAAGACAAATGTCGGTGTTCCGGGGTTAAAATTCTCTAGGTAAATAAGTGTTGAACGGATTCTATTTTCTTCCGCTCAGTAGCACGCATGAGGCTAAATGAAGGCGAACAGTATTCCAGACCAGATCTAACGTACATGTTTTAAAAGGCGCATTCTAATGTCCCTAGTGTTAACATTTCGGAGGATAAGCCCGGTCGTTCTACGTGCTTTGGAGACTATAAAGGCACAGTGCTCCGAGAGATTGAGACTCTTGGAGTATGATACGCCCAAATGCTTTATGACCCCTGGCACATTTATTGCGTGACCTTAAATACTTAGTTGAGGTTGGCGGTCGTCGCCAACCCCCGTGACTGAGCACTTATGCCAGGAAAGAGAAAGGCGCCATGTGCGGCACTACTGGGCGAAAGCCTGTAGATCGCTCTTTATGAGCTCAAGCACGATGTCATGATCTGCCGGCTTATATCGATATGCAACTGTAAGATCATCGGCATACATGAACGGCTTACCATTCTGAAATAAATCGGGTACATCATTAACGAAAAGGCAAAATAAAAGCGGGCCGAGTACACTACCCTGAATGACTCCACTCCTCACACGTGTGGGGTTGGAGATGGTATTGGAAATCTTAACTCGTTGTGTGTGAGTGCCCAAATAATAGGATATAAAATTCAAAAGTTTGTCACCTATTCCGAAAGAGGACAATATAGTAATGCAGATTTGAAAAAGTAGTCTTCTAACAATCCCCTATTACCAGTGGAGTACTTAAAGGTACTATCCTAGGCCCCTTTTATTTCTCATATGTATTCACGATTTATCGTCTATATTAGCATCATCTAGAACGTTTTTATATGTGGACGACCTTAAAATTGCATATGCATATAAATGATCTCAGAAAACTCAGCCAATAGAGTAGTCAATGGCAGACGCTATTTCACCCACAAAATGCCATCTTCTGATCTCAGACGGCCGAAAGAAGCTAGAAGGCGTTCAGAGACGTTTTACTAGATCTTTGTCCAGAAGTGATGGCACCCAGGATTCATACCTATATATATATAAGTGATAACTAATAACTACATCACAATTAATCCAAGTGTAGTTTCATGTCTTTTGGTCCTGCCAAATTTCCTGGTCCCAAAATTTTTCAAAATAACTCTCTCTCAGAATGCCTCACCATGAAGGACCTAGGTCTAAGTTATACAAATAAGCTTGCTTTATCACCATATGCAGATAGAATCTCTGCAAAGCTGCGCAGATATGGGGATTCATATCGCATAATTTTTTACTTCCGAAAATGAAGCTAAGACTTTATCAAATGTTTGTTCTTCTATTCCTCGAGAACTGCTTTCCTTTGTTTGGTTAAATGAACGCCAGCGACAGTAAAAAATCGACAATGTTCAAAGGGTTTCCACCCGGAAACCGTTCTCTTAAGTATCGTCCGATATTTCTTATACTCAGAAATGTCAGCTGGCGACCAGTAACTTCTTGCGGGTTAGAAAACTCGAAGCTGGCATTTGCTTCCTTTTTCGCATCAACTCTAGCTCCAATCTTCCGCTCATTGACGCTTTCACTCTAGAAATCGGTTTTATGTCGCGCGCAATTCCTCCATGGTGATTCCGCCGCCTCTTTGTACTACATCTAAGCGCTCCCTCTTCTTTGCTTCCAAATATGCCTTCCTTTGGAATAATCTTCCGCCTGAAATTAGATCATAGTTTTAGTAACTGGTATTTAAGTCAAACTTACACAAACATCTTACACCGAAAAGCATAAAGGCACTGCTAACGGTCTCATCCCCGAACACTCAGGCT